TATTCTTGTAAGTTTTTCTTTTTCTTTGGCTCAAAATTTAATGTTGTATTTTTGTAGCTCTCTGAATGGCTCCATCATTCTACTATTTTATTGATTCTTTCCTTATTGAAGTCTATTTGTTAATTGAAATTGACAGCCACCTCATCCTTTAATGGATATGTTGATAATCAACTCAAAGATTTTTTAATCAGAATCAGCTCAAAGATTTCAAATGATTCTTCATCCTTGACTTATAGGAGCCTAATGTAGTCTGTTTTCTTCTCATCTTTCTTATAACCAGACATTAAAACGAAAAGTTTGTGCAAATTCATGTGCTGCATTTCCGACCGTCCACTGCGTCCATCATCGCTTAGATAGACAATACTCTCTCTCTCTCTCTCTCTCTCACTCAGTGATAAATCTGTTTATTTTCTGGCAATTCTTTTCAGCATTGACGGTGGCGTATCAATTAGCAACGTCACACGATGCTGTGCTTCAAAGTTGGATTCATTTTGTATACAAAACCCTAGTACCACTTGAAGTCAGTGTTGAGAACTTGTGGAGGCTCTTGGCAGGACTGTGTATATTGTAATTTTTCCTGACAAATGTATCCCGAGAACATTTGCTTCCAAGTGTATGCCCATGTTTCTTTCTTGGTTAGTACACTTGATTCTTAAGTTCATAACTGATGTAATTATTCCCAATATCAAATAGATAGAAAATCGATTTTATGCACTGACCTTTAGTCTTTGATGAATTTATTTTGCTTTTATCTTTTATATGCATAGTTATCCTACTTTTCCCGCTATCTGTTGCATCCTATAATATAATTTGCTCCAACATTCTGTGAGTTCCAATTGGCATCCTTCCCCCTCTTGGATCGGCACATCCTGGTTTGTGCATGCATCTACTAAACAGTCAAAGATTTTAGTATAGAAAGGCAAAGTTGCCTCCTCCAACCAAAACCTACCCGTCCATGGGTCCAAGTCTTTCTAAATTAGTTTCTTGTGGTAATTGTAGCATTCACATTTTGGAATGTCATTCCATACCGAAGAGAAATCTAGTCATGTTGTCAAGTTCATGCATAAAGTTTACTTTTTCTTTATAGAATCACCCTGAATGTGCTGCCTGCCGGATAATACTTCCTTTCTCTCAGGCTAAGTTTTTGGTTATGGTGATTTTTATGGTATCTTTGGAAAGAATTTAGATTACTCTTTTGGTTAGATGGAGGGCATGTGTGGTTTGTATCTGCATTGTTGCTAAGATTGGGTGGGGTTTATTGAAGGGTTCAGGAACATAAGGTTTAAGAGGTCAAGAATAAACTCTGGAAAAAACTTTAGGAAAACGTATAGGATTAAGGTTTCAGTCCAAAAACAACTAAAAGGTGTAACAAGGGTTTAAGGTTTCAAATTTTACATGAAGAAGAAGAAGAAGAATACCTCAATGACATTAACTTGGTTGAAAACCTGGGCCGGAATGTGCTGTTCTGGAGTTGGTTTGTATTGGAGAATAGGTGTTTAGCGTATTGCACATTATTGAGGAGATAGGTATGGGTCAAAATATTGTCCTTGGCTATGTAATCAATGAAATGGTGTGGACTATGTATAGTCAAATCTATTGATGCTTGAAATTACTGGGTTATACACTAATCTTGAAATTAAAAGAAAAAACCCAGCGGCATAAAAAATGAAAAAAAGACTCCTGGACAGAAACACTTGGTGGAAGCTGTGTTCAACCTTTAGGACTCGTCTTCAAATTTTCCTTTTTGGTTTCCAAACCACAAATCCTTACCACCTTATGCAAGTCGCAATGGGTATCTCTTTTTATAAAGTGGTTAGTGTGTGCTTACTCAGACGGTGATTGCAATGTGCAAATAATTCCTTCCATACATTTTGGCTAAAAAGTTCTATATAATAGTTGAAGTCGGTGGGTGTTGTGATTGTGGTGAAATGTTAGTTATCTGAGTTAAGCTTTGAAATTGGATTCTGGACAGTGTTTCTCTTTCTTTGTTTTCCTTTTCATATTTGAGTATATGTAGATATTTGGTTTAACTTAATGAATGTCTGCGGTAATATCATCTTCAGATACCCTTTTATATTTTTTATTGTAACAAGGGGAGGTATATGATAAGTGAATGCTCCCAGGTTGGGGCAGCCTGTGAGATGTTGATGAAATTTGGATTTCTAATGCTAGGGAGTTATGTTAGATGAGTGTAGGACGAACTTTTTATGCATGGTTGTTAGAATAAACCAGCCTTGATTGTTTTGATCAGATTTAGAATGTGGGAAGTACATACTCTTCATATAGTTGATCATTGCCATATTTTTGTTGGAGCTTAAGTTTTTCTCTTTTAGAACCAGTTATCAGCATTGCAACCTTTACTGTAAAGCTGAAGTTACCAAAACTTGGGTTATGTTGTTTGGTGTGTTGTTTACTACTTGTTGAAACAAATTCATCTAGAAACAAGTAAGTTCTTGTTTGATCTGCCGCTGTTATAACACCACAATATTTGTCCTATGGTTGAGAAAGGAAGCTTAAAGATTGTTTTTTCTTTTTTGGGATTACATCAACTCAAAAAATTTCTTGACTTATTATGTTTGAGGCACATCTCTGTTTTATGCCTTCACTCTACACCTGGTTAATTCAAAGTGCAACAGATGTGGATTTTTGTTTTAGTGTTTGCTATCTGTATACATGTTGTGCAAATTAATTTAATTAATTTTACTTGATGTTGCATCGTGTCAATGCCATGTCATTTATTTTTAGTGTTAATTTTTTGTAATATGTGGTACCGTACTTGTGGCTCAATTTGTGCATTCTGTAGTGTCGATGTTAAGCATTTTGTGCTATGGTAGTGTTTAAAATGTTTGTGTAGATATTTGCACATGAGTTCTCCTTTGTTTGGATTTCCTAGTTCCTGTTATGTTTTTCTTTTCTCAATAAAAGTGTAAAAGCCATGTGTGTTTTGTAATTATTCTGGAATGTTATTTTTTTAATGTGAGACTAAGGTTTGGTTGTAAGGCCTTATTTTTCCCTTTAAGATTCTGGAATTATAGTAGATGACATCTGAAAATACATGCAAGTCCGTGGAATTGTAATGATAGATAAAATAGCTGAAAAGAAGAATGGAAATAAGTAGGAAATGAGAAGAAAAAGAAATAAATATTTTACTGAGAGTTTTGACGAGTTGTGTGGTTTTACCTTTATTGTTGATGGGGAATTTAGTTTGGAATGACATCATAACTGCGCATACTGTTACAGGTTTTGGCAAAAGATTAAAACAGATACATTTTTTGGGGTTTTGTCACTGTCAAAGGAAAAGGAATCCTACTTCCTGGCAGATACACATTGCTGTAAACCATTCAGGTACATATTTGACATGGATTTTTGGACCAAGAAAAGGATCATAAATATTGTTAGTTGAGTACGGTTTTGATGCAACTGTATATGTACCTGAATGTTTTGAAGAAATTACAGATGCCTTATAACTGCTGAAAGTTTTATTTGATAGTTCTTACAGATGCTTTAATAGCAGTGATTTTTCATTTAATGCTCAAACATCCGATCCGAGCATTTTTGTTTACACTATTATGTTTGATTATGTTCTATTGTACACTGAGCATCACAGAATGAAAAGAGGTTCTTTGACTGCTGTTGCTTCTGGTTTTTTTGTTCTTTTTCTTTCATCATTTTTTTACCTTGATTCATTTTCGGTCTTTTTTTTTTTTTTTTTCTCTTCTCGTTATTTTTTGTTTAGAGATTGGTTGAAAATCTTTACTTCCACTGCCACCCATTTGGAGCTGGGGTTTAGGCCCTAGGCATTGTTTTATTTGAGAGGTCAAGGTCATGTTGATTCAAGTATTTGTAGTAACGAGGGTAAAACAATATTTCATTTCCTTTTCCTGCATTCTCAACCGTAGATAATAATGCAGGCGGCAGGCAGGCAGCAAGCATGTCCACCTTTTGTTGCATCTAATAATATGAATGAGTCAGTGTTTTCTGCTGCTCCCAAACATTGTAACTCGGTCTTCATTTGAAACGGACATGAAGCTCATGCGTATGCTATTACTAACATGAATTTATTTATTTATTTCTGTAAATGAAATTGGGCTAACTTTTATGAGGCTGGAGAGCGAGAAGTGATCCATTTCACTCATTGGATTGGTGGAAGGTGTGTCAAACATGCGTCTGATTCTGAAGCCAATAATAACCATATGATTAGGGCCTTTGGGGCTTAATAATTCTCAAGTGTCGATATTACTGTCACCTCCGCCAATGCCGATGCCAATGCCATGCGGGCAAGACGTCTATGCATCCAAACTCTTTTTCTGCCGCTCAAATTCGACTGTGGTGGTTGTGGTAAATGAATTAATAACCATCCCATCCGCGCGAAAACACATGAATTTTGATGGTTTTGTAGACTTCCTTATCACCAAATATGGAACCGGGTAGGATGGTGGAGGATTTCAGCTGCGGAATGGTAATTTCTTCATTGCCTGCTTTGCTGGTTTAAATGAATTAAATATATATCTCTCTCAAAATGTTTTCATGCTAAACTCTTTGCTTTCATATGTTCCTCGTTACCTTACAGAAGAGAAACAAACGACGAGAGTAGGCAAGTTCGGCACCAAGTTGTAATTCATTTCACTGCACGTGATGTATTTTCCTTTAGAATTTCAGATCGTCCATGGACCATGAGTCTTGTATTTATGACGACTCTTCCTTTAAACTAGTTGTCATTGTTTCCGACCCAAAAAATATACTGGTTGTTATTGTAACACCACCACCCTCACTGTTTATGGACTTACTGTCTCACTCGCGGCGGTACAGCCTATTTGCTAAGCTGTATTTAGTTTCTAAGTACAGATACAAAGGAATATCATGATTTCGTTATACATTGCACCTTTAATGAAAGATGGATCGACTTCAAAACAGAGAATGAAATGATCATTCAAAGCCGAGGATGATAAACCTAAAATAAACCTAAAATAAAACGGCGTGACATGAGTAATTTGAGATTATCAAAGAAAACTTATCAACAGGATACGAGTACATTGATAAGATCAATATTTTACGTAGAGGTAGTAAGCACATTGATGATCATGAAGACATACAAACTGCTGAAACAAGATCAGAAATAAAGAACATTAGATTGTGGCTTCCGTGCGAAAGTAACACAAAAGAATAATAGCTAGTATGATATATGATGTTATAAACAGATCCTCCCAGAAACCCAAGGAGAGCCAGAACCAATATACATCTTCTATAATCTGGCCAAATGCTTACAAATTTGTCTGGCAAATATCCGGTAATCTTTTGTTCGCACTGCGCATGTGATCGCTTGCTCCTTCCAAGCGTTCATCCATGGCTTGAACTGGTACCTCTTCCTAAAGCTTGGAACTGTTTTCCATCTAACAGGAAATTCACATGTATTTCAATGATTAATGATATAGGGTCTTATTCAAATCTTTTCCCCCCCTTTCTTTTTTCTTTCTATTTACCCCTTGAAAGCAGGTAATGCATGTGCAAAAACATGGATCAAAATTGGCAATTAGAGTACAATCAAATGAATTAATCAAGTGCAGCCTTTCTTCGACCTGTTGGCTTAGGCAAACCATCAAATATTGGTTTTCTAATGGCTGCAGTTGAAAATACTTGTAAATCTGGCTTCAAACTCCACTTGGAAGTTGACCAGATGGATGCAGAACTGCTACTGTCGTGATCCTGCAAATTTGATGTGCTTGACGACTTCCTCACTCCAGACAACCCGTCTGTTATAAAAGAATCACCCAAACCCACTGGTATAGGATTCAAGCCACCAGCTTCAACATCAGTTCCTAAAGCCGTTCGATTAGCTGCTTTGGGTCTAAGGGCCAAGCACTGCCCTGTAAACGCTGAAAACCCGGCAGTGCCACTGCCACTGCCACTGTTATCTCCCAACAGCATCTCAGGAGTGCGAGAAAAGTCAGCTTCTGATTTCTGACGCCTCCTAATTAGTTTTTCACCAAATTGATCAGAGTCACTCTCTCTAGTTTCCATACCAGGCATGGAATCCGAAAGTTCACCATTCTCATCCAGCTTAACTAAGCTTCTTGACTTTCGACGTTGGCCGAAAGGTTTGTCAGAAGCTGGCGACCCTCTAAGGAAGTGTCCATTTTCTAAATAATGGCCACCTCCATTTTTGTAGACTGCCATTTCAAAACCTTCAGTTATGGGGTTCTGATTTCTTGGTTTCAGCCCGTAATAACTTTGTAAAGAGTCCATAGCCGGGGAGGCTTTCCGCTGAGGAGTAACTCTAAGGGACCGGAATGATTCAAACATATCACCTTGTGTGTGGCGGGGTGGGGTCTGGTCAGAGCTAGTCTGGCTGTGTAAATAAGTGTCAACACGGTAAGCCACAAAGGAACCACAAACAAAACAAGTAAAAGAAGAAACTACCAGCAATACCATCCACTTCGAAGTATTAAATTGTTACATAACTTGAATTTTAAGCAATATTAATAGAGTACGAAGAGACTGAATACTTATTGTTGTTCTAAGTTTACATGTTATAGACATTTTTGAGAGCAGAATCTATAAATTGATCTTGTAACAAAATCCTGACATATGCTTTGGAAACCTGCAGATATACTTTTGCAGGGAAATGTACTACGAGTAAACACAAGTAAAAAAGAAGAAAAAAAGAAAGATTGTTTTCTAAATAATCACCTTAAAATGCATCCCAAAATAAGTAAACTTTGTGATTGAAGCTTCCCCTTTAGAAAAGGAAGCAACATCTGGAATGTGACATAAATGCCTGTTGAACTAATTAATATACAGCAGAGAAATATGGGGTGCTGCTCCAGAAGTGCATTTCCTAACAGTCTTTCCAGATCCTCGACCCTAGATTAGTCGAATAACTAGAGGTGTTAATTATGTTTATGGACACAACATTGACCTAAAACCCAGTCCTCATATCTACTATTAAAACCAAAAGCATATCCAAAAGAAGAGGGCTTCCACAGATACACTAAACAAGTGGGGCCTTAGATATCGTTTATGGACCCAAAGTAATCTCCAGTAGCAAGAAGAAGCAGAATGGTTGGCAAAACCACAAGTTGTTACCAAAGAAGAAGAAAGTATAGTAAAACCAATTAAGAGTAGAGACATCTAATTACCATGGTGTGTTGGAACCATTTGATAAACAAGGGGATGGACGATGCCTCCCAGGTAGTGGAATCTGAAGAAACCTGAGGGCAAACATTTGACGATCTGTAACAAGGCCATTCATCTTTTTGATGTCGGCCACCTACAATATCATAAAAAATACTAAATTATTATTATTATTTTTTTTGGAAAAAAAGAAGAAGCTCAATAATCGAAAAAACCAGCAAACAAAAACCAACCTGATATTAGATTGGGGGAAAAGGAACATACACATTAGTATCAAGACAAAACAATCACACCCCTTGGAATAAAAAGCACAATAGAACTCAAAGAATCATACGCACTGTCATTGACTGCCTTAGCTATCAGCCTTATATATTTCTCAGCATCCAGCAAATATTCAAATTCAATTAACCAACCACAACAAAAGAAAAAGAAAACCTAGCAATTCTAAATGGTAATTCAAGCATAAGAAGTCCAATTGACAGGAAAAAAGAAACGAAAAAACGGAGATGAAGAAATGAAAATAGGAATGAAAGTACGTACCTCAACGCCGTATTTGATGGCGACACCAGCAAGCGTGTCAAATTTGGAAACGACGTGTTCTATATAACCTGCACCTGCTTCTCCTCCTCCAACTCCACCGACCAAAGCGGGAGACGAAGATGGCGGAGAATAAGATTGCTGCAGCAGTGATGGCGGCGGGGAAGAACTCGGCAGAAAGAGTGACGAGGAAGAAGACGACGACATTGAATCGTTTTTAATGTTATTTTGATATCGGTTATGTAAATGGGATGATGAAATCACTTGATCTGCATGATGACAACAGAAGTGGCTTTCCATCTGCGTATCTTCTGCCAATCACAATCTGATGTCGTCTTCCTAATCATCTCATCTCTTCTCCAAATCCAAAATCAATTACAATTACGAACATAAGAGCGAGATCGTTGAATTCGTCAAATAAAATTGGGATCCCCCACCCCAGACAATGAGAGATCTAATGGTAATAGATTAGATTGATTGATGTAGCAATCAAAGATGCACCGTGCGCTTTCTTCAATTGAATGCTTCGTTGGCTAATTGCTCCTTCAGAATCTCTCTGATCATCAGGTGAGATTGAGAACCTCTCTCCTCCCTTCTTCCCTGAAATTGAGTCCCTCTTTGCCTCTCTCTCTCTCTCTCAAAATTAAAAATTAAGGATTAAGGAGAATTAAGGAGGATTCGGGATGTCTCGCCCGCCCACACTCGGACTATTTGGGTTTGTTATTATTTTATTAATAATTATTTTCCGTGTTATTTATACTTAATTTATACTCTAATTTTATCTGACAATTTTGTTTTTGTTTCAGACCCCATTTCAGTTGCAACTTACAACTGGCAGAGCCCCCTGCTTTTGGATTCGGATTTCTTTTCTGTTTTTCGTTTTTTGTTTTTTTGCCCTTTTTGTTGTTTTGTTTTTAACTGAGAAACGAGCGGTAGTTTGATAATTGTTAATATAATTAAAAAAGTATGAATAAAATTGAAAATAATAATGAAATTCTTATCAGTCAGTCCCAGCCCAGCCCAGCCCAGCCCAGCCCAGCCCAATTGTTCTCAAAATGGGCTGCCTTTTGTTTGTTGACCTTCCGTTCCGTTGAGCCAACGGAAATCAAGGAATACGCCACATGCCAGGAAGAATTTTAGGATTAACAGGGTGATTGGACTGGACATAATTTCCCAAGATTAGTTTCGATTCAACAACTCAGTCAGCATTTGACTCCAATATTAGATACATCGTTAACTTAGAAGAGATCTAGCTTGGTTACTCCAAAAGTTCGATTCAACAACTTAGTAGATGTAATGATTTGCCTAACTTTGCCGCAAAGTCGAGGGTCAATGCTTTCTTTTCAAATTTCTACCATTTCTTTCTTTCTTGGTGTCGGTGTCCAAATTCGTATTAGAAAGAAAACAAAAAGGAATATTGATTTATGGTTAACTGCCAAGACAGACAAGGGCGCTAATTGCTCTCGTCTCATCATAGACAACCAGTCAACGACAATTACAAGTAGTCGCCGTTTTCAGTTTTCAGGGCAGAAACTCTACATGCCATGTTGCTGCTGAAAGTCTCATAGTCTATGAGACTTTGACAAAGAAAAGCATCGAACTTGCGGAGAATTTCTCGTGAATAATAAAAGAAACTGACTTATTTGCCAAATCCTAATCTCGTGTTCAGGGTGGGCGGTGTTCTCTTTGCCTACTTTATTAGTGTAGGCAGGCAGGGACCAAATCGTCAGGCCATCTTTCTACTGCTTGCCTTACACTTGCACACTGATGATTAGTAAATACAGAATCAACAAACACACGTTACTTTGGCAAAGAGAGGTAGTCTCAACCCTAGAGACTTTTCAGTTTTCACGTTATCTGTTGGCCTCCCCAAATTCCCTCTCTCCCTCTTCCTGTCCTCTCCCCTCTCCCCATCACCGGCACTTCGCCGGACCTCTGCCATCGATCCGCCACCGCTCCACTCTCTCCTCCTTTAATTTTTGGTTAGTCCACCTTTGAGATGATGTCTATAGTCTATGGTCAATGGTAGTTGATGGGTCATAACACTGCTCCATGCACACCAGCCCCAACCACCTCCATAACCTCTTATAGGACCATTATACCATTAATAAATAAAAATAAATTTCAGTAGCATGATTGATATGGCTTATCAATCCTTAAACGTGTAGAGTATAAAATAAAGGAATACACAGAGAATTATTTTACGTAATAAAACTCCACCTCTAAAGAAAATCCACAGGATTCCTCAGTTCAAAACAAATCAACTATAGAACGATGATTACAAGAAGTACTCGCACAATCCTAGACACATTCTAGATAATGTTTATCGACTTCTTCGTAACTCAACTTCTGTCACGGTATGATCTTTCGACACTCCTTATGTTGAACGCAATAATGGTCACAATTGCTTCAAACTCACAGGAGTTCTTCTAACTCTCCTTATGTTGAATCCGATACTGGTCACGATAAATTCAAGCTCACCGGAGAAAAACCGCTGTAAAGGTCTTGGTGCTCTCAATCGTATGAGTCACCGAACATGCAAATGAATGCAATATGAATAATAAAAGTGTTTGATAAATCACCAAGTAAACATGGAATACTTGATGATTTATCTCAAATAAAAGCACAGCTTTCTTAAACGTTTAAGCACACAAAATTATTGTTGAAAAGCTGTAGATTTGGAAAAACACAAAACCTTGTTTTTATATAAGTTTTCTTCACTGAAAGAAACTTACGCTTAACCCAAATCTCTAATATTCTAAATACAAGTCACGTGAAAATCAACCACTTGCTGAAGAAGGAAGATTTTGACTAATCACAATATCAAAGGAATCCTTCTATGTTTAGGACAACTATTAATAACATCTTGACTCCTTGATATTATAATATAATTGATAAAAGATTTCTAAACAACCAAAACGATTTAGAAAATCAAAGGAATGTTAAAACATAAAAGTAGGAGAATCAAATTGATTTAGGCCAAATTTTCCTAAATGAGATGAGCTCATTATGGGATTCTAATTTATTAAAAAAATAAGAAAATAAAATCATATTAAATACCAAAAACGTTCCCATCATGTATGTATGTGAAATGACATGTCTTATCCTTCATATCAATGTTTCATATGTGTTAAGTCACAATTCTGGAATTCAGGGATTACTGAGCTGTCTTAATCTTGCAGTTTTTGGAAATAAGAGATATCAATTTTGTTTCAACCCTCTAACTAAAAGACACTTCCAAACTTACACTAAGTTTTAGGAAATGCCAAGACATTTTCATACTAACAATGAGTATTGATTAAAAAGCCAAAGAGGAGGGAGTCTTGCAGCGGTGAAAAGGCAATGGATCTGCTGCATAGGTTCGGCAGAGTGCCGGCAATGGGAGGAGAGGAAGACGGGAGAGATGGAATTGGGGGAGGTCGACAGACAACGTGAAAATTGAAGAGTCTCTAATCCAGTAAGGTTAGGTTTTTGTAATTAATGAAAATAATAAGAAATTGATATGTCAAAAAAAAAAACTAATATAATTTTAATGAGTTGGATGTCCACCTCAACTGCCATGTGAGATGGTATTAAAATGTGGAATAATTACGTGGTAAGTATAGCATTACCCTAAGAGCAATTCCACCGCTGCATGCCAGCCCGAGTAAAAAGGGGCTCGAGGCCAGTTTCTAGGTTCCAACGCGAGCGAGTAGCCTGGACAAATGATGGGGGCCACTAACCCAGGCAAGCCCAAAGGTAGATCAAGCCCAAGCTAGTGACTGAAGGCTGATGATGCCAACGGTAAAAAAATTTGAAACTTCCGTGCGCTGACGCTAGCCTGTTTTCCGCCAACGACTAGAAGTCACGTGGCTTGTTCGTTCGTAATTTGTCCTCCAATCCAACGGCTGCCATTTTTCGTGTTAAACAAATTGTAAAAAAATTCGAAATTTAAAAAAACGAAAACAAAAAATACCAAAAAATTATGAGTTTTTTTTCTCTATAAATACGTACCAATATTTTTTACTTTCCATACTAAATCTTCATACAAATTCTTCTTCTTCCAATATTATTCACTTTCCAATTTTCATTTGTGTAAAAATACAAATGACATCTTCCATCAAAGCCGGAAAGTCGTGGACAACCATGGAAGATGTTTTGTTGTGTGAGTGTTGGGTCCAAGTTGGTCATTGTCCGATCACGGGCAACAAGATGAAGTTCTCTCATATGGGGAGAAAAATTCATGTCGAATTCTATGAAAGATCGGGTTCGGCTCGTACGAAAATGACATTTGCTAATAGGTGGAAATTTTTTAATAAAGAGTTAGGGAAATGGAGAGATGCATTGGCAAAAGCAAGAGATAACATTCGAAGAGGTGAGGTAAATTATTTGTAATTGTCGTTTTATTAAATTTAATGTCCTATTTTTTTGAAATTTTCTTGCATTTCCAATTTTTTTATTATAGATTTTTTTTATTATAGATTATGCAAGCACAAATGTAGTTAAGTGCAATTGACCAAAGTAAAAAATATTTCAACAATCACCAATGTTGGGAGGTGGTGAAAGATTGTTCGAGATTCAAAATTATTCCTATGGGTCCGACTATTGTGTTGAATGAAATGCTGCTCCATGATTCAACTGCATCGGATCGCCGTTGGAGTCCCCAATGAATCAAGACTCATTACCAAAGGGAGCCAAGACTTATTGGCAGAAAGGCGGCAAAAACCAAGAAATGGAGTAATTCCACTAATGATACTGCAAAAATTTCGGGGCAAATTGCTCTGAACGGCACAATGAGAATTAAGAGAGACATGAAAAGAGATGTGGATGAGAAGGCAAGAGATGAAGCATTTGCAAGAGAAAAGAAGTATGCACACAAACAAGACATGGACAAGAAGGATCGAGAAACTATGGCCATGAATACGAGCCATATGTCCCCTGAAACAAAGTCATTTTGGAAGTTAAAACGAAGGGATGTTATGAGAAGAAAATTTTTCCATGACTACAAACCAAGCAACACTGATTGGTTAAATGATAAAAACCATTAGGTTGTATTGCTTGTCTTTTATTTAATTGGTTAAATGATGAAATTTGAGAAGTGAATTTTATAATAAATATGGACACGTGGCAATCGAAAATCTTATCCGAAATGTGAGATGTGAATTTTATAATAAATATTGACACATGGTAATAGAAAATCTTATCCAAATTAATCGTTTAAAGTAAAAAAATAAATAAATTAAAGTGAATAAGATTTACCATTTGCCATAATAATGGATGGAAACACAACAAGCCTTTTGCAAGGGTTGACACTATTTACGTGAATAGTAACAACCATTGTCTCCCTTTGCCATTTTCCATGGCAAATGGGTGGAAGTGCTGTAATAAGGTTACTAAAGGCTAACAAACACGAAATCTACAATGAGCAATGCGCATAGAAATAGGAACACAAACACTTGTTCTTCTCTAATAGCATACGATGATGCACAATCTCTTCCTCTATTCTGTAGTGTTACTCTCTAAGCTTGCATCTCTCGTACATCCTTGTATTCGTGAGGACACGCATAAACGAAATAGCACAACATCCAAATCCAGCTCAACCTCCGTGGGACCCCCATAAACCTAGAAGGGAAGTCTCTTCATTACAGTTAGCCGCAGTACCTACTTGATGTTAACAGCATTTTAAGCAACAGGGATATTAGGTTCCCCTAAATTCACAAAGGCCTCTGCTCGGGCCATGCGTGCCATTGCCGCATTCCAAGACACAAGATGGTTCATAAATACATCCACATACTTCCCTCTGTCATTCTGTTAACAAGATACCCAAACATCATAAAAATAGGGCCAGCTGGTGGAAACAAAGTCAAGTTTGATACTACTACATACCTTGTAATCCAGATAATAAGCATGCTGCGAGAAAGAGAGCAAAGACACTATCAGCATGTTTAAGAAAAAATTTCATCTCTCTCTCTCTCTCTCCACAAGAGAGAGGGAGAGCACATAGCAAAGAGAGATACAGAGTGAGAGAGAGAGAGAGAGAGCATTTACACACCTCCCAGAGATCCAAACTGATTATGGGCTGCAGAACAAGGTATGATTAATGCCAACTTTTGAAATCAAAATGTAGAAAATAACATTGGGAAAAGTCGATTTTACTTACTATGTCATCCCAGACGAGTGGGCAAATGGCATTTGAAGTTTTAATTATCTGAAGATGTCTCTCTTCTCTCTTCACTGGGAAAAAGAAACAAGGAAAACTATCAGTAACCAGAGGAGTTGATTAGCAAAACAAGGCCACAAGATCAATACAAACACTCGGTGATATTTATGCATTTCTTCCATGAATATCAATATCAAGCAAGATACAACCTGATACTCAAATACTAAAAAAATTATCATTATTTGTATCTACAAACATAAAACAAATAGAACACAGCGTGATAGGCCTTGCTTGACTCAGCCGTACACCATCACAATGAATACGAGGAAATTTCATTCTTAGAAATTCTAAACGCATAATACTCACAAAAGTTCAGAAATTAACTTAAGAAAGGACTTACAAACAAGCCAAACCCAGCCAGAGCCAAATAGTGTAAGTGCTGCCTCCACAAACTTCTCTCTGAAATTTGTAAAGGAACCAAAATCCTTTTCAATCTGCTGAAGGACGCCTAGTTTGGGCATGTCCCCGCCTCCAGGTTGCATGGATTCCCAAAAGAAGTCATGATTCCAGACCTACAAGGATAAAGTTGAAGGAGAACATCTTATAATCCCAAAATTAGAGACGGAAAACATAGTAAATTTGCCTTGTTGTTCAATATCAACTATCAAGAACATGTCCATTTGAAACTTTTATAAATGATATGCCCAAAACGGGACTGTAAGTTTGATTCCCAGTCTCCAAAGAATATGAAACTACACAAAACATTTAGAACAATCAATCAGGATAACTGAAAATTTGAACAAGCTAAAGCCACAGTTATGCTCCAGGCTACATGACTAGATTAGATGCTGTCAGGTAGTAGTAGTACATTTAAACCTAAGAAATTCAATCTAAATGTTTCCTATCATTGACCAGTGACTCCTAAGAAAGCTCATCAAACCATTTGAAAATGATCCAGTCAAGAAAAGTACATAAATTAGCTAACAATCTTGCAGATACCTGAGCAGCGTTGTTGAATTCAGGTAAAGGATTCCCATTATTATATGTTGCCTTGACAAGTTCATCAAAACTGTAGCCATATAGTATGTCATTCTTCTCCAACTGTTTGTTCAAACCTTCCACATAGTTACGATGATGGCCTCCCCAATGAACTTCCAGTGTCCTCTGACTCATATAGGGCTCCAAAGCATCCTACAAAGAGAAACAGTGCAGTTCAGTCAAGGAAGATCACTGGTCATGGAAAGACTTCTAAAAACTGCTGCAAACTGAACGGCACAATTGCAAGGTAGAATGTTATGCATATACGTATCTGTAGTATAATTACATATTATATTTTATATGTTCCAAAAATTGCTTTGTATCAAATTTCAAGGATGCAGCATTTGGAAGCCTGTTTAGAGCTTAAGAACTGACAAAAAATAAGCGGCACAGCATGAGATGGATAACTCCAACAAGTAAGGCTTTCAGAGAATCAAATTCAACACCACACGAATTTCAGAAACCAAATGACTGCATTACCAAAATATCTTGCAAGGCCAATGAGGTATAAGACTTTAACAAAGGCAAATAGAAAACCAACAAACTTCTTTAGAATGTATCAAGCATGCATCATGCACCTAATGTGATACTTGAATCTGACTTATCCAATCTGATTTCAAGTCAGTAAAATTGGTTTAGCACTGGGCCTTACGAATGGGGTGTTCTCTGTTACTTAAGCAGTTAAGAACAAATATCACATAGTACGTAGTTCAATTACAGGTTTTATCTTGTATACTTACAAATTTATAAGGAGGTTTCTTCAAGCCATAGTAAGCAACAACTTTAGAAGCTCTTTGAGACCGGTCGAGCCGTCTTCTCTGCTGCGTACACTGAGTACATAGAGATTCAACAGACACGCATTTTATGTAGTCAATATAGCATAAAAGAAATCAACCATGAGAATAGAAATAGAAACAGTTGTTCTGAACAAAATAGCCACATTTGATAGAAGTTAAGAAGCACATCCACATGATAATATATACTAATCACAATATTCAAATAGCACAATTAAATAGTCATAACAAGGGAAAAGAAATACGGCAGGACAAAAAGCAAAATGGGAAGTATAATGAACACTAAACAGACAAATAGCAAAGAAGATGATAAAGAAAACAGCACGTACCGGATGAGGGAGTATGGGACTCTTAAAAGACTGAGAAAAGTCGGTCGATAAAAGATGAGAGCTTGGAGCTGAAGGACTATAAGAACAAAGTATCATTGCTTTGCTCCTTTAATTTCCCCTCTCTCACTTACATAAGCATGTCTGCGAAATCACGAGTTATGGCTCATTTAATTCAAATTGGAGATATACCAAAATAAATAAATAAATAAAATTTGAGGGCTGAAATATACTTGGAACAGCTAAATATAAACATAATTTAATTTTAAAAAATCTCACTTTTCTTTTATTTCTTATATTTTTCACGAAAACTAAACTCAATCTTAAAGCTGCTAATGAAATCTCACTTTTCCTTACTATGCCTCCATGAGGCTTTCACAAGCAAACCCAATAAATAGTGGTATTAGGCACCATTTATCAAATAATGGAACTGTGAACCATTTTTCCTGCTTAAATGACCCAGTGGGGGGTGGTAACATTTCTATGAAGCATTTCCTCAAACACATGTACTACCACAGAGAGAGAGAGAGAGAGAGAGAGAGAGAGAGAGAGAGAGAAAAGAAGACCTTGGTGGTGGTGTTGAGCTGCGGCCTCCAGTGGGTGAGCTTTCCAATTCCCGCTACAAGTATAAAAAAGAGTAAGAAGCTGGGGTTATCGTTTTGTCAGCAGTTTCCGTTCCTTCGATTTCTTTTTCATCCTCTCATCATTGCTAATTTGCAATGTGACCAGAAAAATCATTGTTCATTGCACCGAAGGTCCACCAAAACAGAATTTGCAAATAACTCCCTGGGGAACCAATTGGAAATGTAAGGAATTCTTAACGTCGTTTCTACCCCTAATTCATTGACTATATTACGGAACAAAGCACGGGCCGCTGCGGATGGAGAGAGAAACTCAATCGTAATAGCGGCTTGACTGCAACTTTACGTTGTTATTATTACTATTGCTCTCTTCCCTTGTAATTTTAGTACATTGGAATTTGGAAGAGAATTATGAACAATCCGATTAAAGGAGAGTTGCTAATTACCGAATTGAAAATTTTGTATTTGTGTCTCAGAAAGGAATAAAGATATCGTGGTGATGCTGGTGACAAACAAATTTCACATCTAAAGCATGACATTGAGTCATTGACCCCGAAGGAAGAACCACCATTTCTATAGACATAATATTTGTTGTCGAATGGTAATTCATATTTGTATTAATTACAGCAAAATTAACACTTTGACCCCCTCTTCACAGCTTTTGATACTTGATCATATATGTATATCAGCAGGCAGTACAAAATTGCAAGCACCGTTGATCAACCTGCATATATGCACATGTCAATAAATAAAATTTTCCAAAATTTCTAAATGATGAAATGAGATATTCCAAGAAGGTCCAAGAGGAGCCACAAATAAATTTACCGCGTGTAAATTACAAGTCTACAACTTCATCCAAGATACCGAAGCAAGACGCCATCGTTTCCCAGCACAAATCCTGTAGTGTCATCGATAAACCTGCACCAATACAGGAATTATAAGAGCTTGTCTGTTACAGATAAACAAGAGCTCATGCTCATGTGATGTGGACCTTCCATTGAATTGCTAGCTCTTTCCGATTTGGTGCAATATATCTATGAGATTCCAAATCCACGTGGTTTTATCTGTTCTTTTGGCCTCCAACTGGAGTTTTCTTATATTTTGAAGTGGTAAACAAGGGTAAAGGAGATCATACTAATAACTGACAAGACAAAGGTGTGTGCCTTGTATTTGGAAGATGTTCGATTTGACCAAATTACAAATATCAAACACAGACAATCTTTTTGAAGGGTTCTACTTACTTTACAGAGTATAGATTTGCTGCAATGTTGTCAGCTGCTTTGTCACGGGTCCATGTCTTGCCACCATTGGTAGTTCGCAACAAAATCCCACTCCCCCCAGCTGCCCAAGCTTCATCCTGTATAATACAAACAGTCACTAAACATGTAAAAAGATGGGTTCCAGAAACTAGAAGGTTGAAAGATTAAATTTGGAAGCTCATTTACAATGAATGAATTACCTTTGATCGGTACCCAACATCAAGAATGCCAAAACCCCGGCTTTGGACTGGAACTTCTTCAAACTCCTCTGTTAACTGAAACAATAAACAATAACTTTGCTTCAACAATAAGAGAACACCAAGGTTATAGGGTGAATTCTTCTTGCACCTTAAGGTTACAGGGTAAAGCATTATTCACTTACCCCTGTACCTTTACTCAGATAAAGTCCTCCTCCACGAACAAGAAGCCAAAGACCACCGTCAGCTCTCCAACCCATGTTTTGAATTCTTCTCGCAATCGTTCTGTTATGTGGCTGCCAGAATGGCTGAAAAATTATAGGCAAGGAATCACAGTTAACACGAGTGCTTTGTGCATATCCCACATGAAACTAAAAAATTTAAATGAGAACATGCATAAAGCCAACACAGGATAATTAAGAAGTTATTGACTACCAGTGTCACAAACAAAATGACAACAGTTTCTAAAATGCATATGACTTATGAGCATACAATTTCAAATAATTAATGTCATCAAAGTGAATGACTGCAAGAATGCTACAAATGAGTCCTCATGCTTTGCAGATACAACATGTGGTTGATCATTATCAAAATCTCAATTAAGCTTCTATTTTATTCTTCCCTATTTTAGCCTTATGTAAGGCCATCTTTTCCATCAAATCTTTGACTATCATGCCCTGCCCCCATACTTCAATGATCAACGTATGTCATGTTGAGTCTCCTCCAACCTGTTTCACTCCTTAGGAATTCACATTGGTGTAGTAGTAGCAGCCAATGCAACCACAGCTTTTATTTTTCCACAATAATTCAACTACTTAACAAAAAAAACAAACCCCTAACAACATGC